GTCAGGTGAACAAGCCGATACTCCACATAAATACCTAAATAAAGCAACGAAATCGCGGACAGCCAAGGCGCGTATAATAATAGTCATCTATTTTGAAACAATAGCATGTAAAAATGGAATAAACTGGCCTAGGATAGTGTTTACTGGCGGGATGGGTAATGAACCTCGGGTTTCCACGATGGGCAGGGAATTATTTGACTACAGTAGACGCAAAATAAATTCTAGCTACGTCACAGGAAGATGAAAAAAGTCTGCATGAACAAGTGTAGTGCAATTGCAAACATTATTTCCTTTTAATTCTTTGACAGTGGGTGGGATTTTTGATACATTGTATTTTACACAACTGCTTTTTGTGGACAGAAAGAATTATAAAACTCCATCAATGCACACACTCCAAAACCCACACACCCTACTTCTACAGCCTAAACGTAATAATTTGACATCTGATAGTACAAGGTACAAGGAAGGATAGTGTTATCTCACCTTGCGTGTTATCGATTCGCGGTCTTATCCGCCATTCCATGTGTGTATTTGTAACGGTCAACGAAGTTCCGAGTTTTTTTTCCGTCCACTGTACATGAAATTAAGTACTGTCGGTTTTTGAAATACATTTTTATACGTGTTATGACCTATATAATTTCATATAAAATCCATCTAAATAAAATAAGATGGTTTGTTAGTAACTGTAGCAACGAACTATGTTTATATAGCCCAAGTCTGATTTTAATTCTTACTCTAGAAAATTCTTAAGTATTTTAAAATGTGGACTTTGGCAGATACGTCGACCGCTACCGAGCGAATATCAGCTTCTCAACAAGTTCTCTGCTCAGGGGCTGGGGGTATATCAGTTACGTAGTTAAAAGTAAGGTCGGCCGTTCATGGTTTCAGTATCTTATCCGCGACCACGGTAAAAAGTGCATAGCAGGCCCACAGTTTCACTGATTACACCCCACAATTGTGTCACAAATTGAGGTCTCTCGTTGTGTATCACTTAGAGAATCTACGGGCATTTTATGTTTCCCGCTTTACGCGTTTTCGATGTACGTGGCGATTAGCAGGAACGCAACCCCTGCGAGTAACATGACTCACGTATATCCACTTCATTAATATCATTCCATCTACGCCTTGGTCTCGCAAGCGGTAATTATTCTTCGTTTTCTGACTAAAATGCTGTATGATCAGGAGACGGTCTCCGAAACGTTGAAAATTCATATTGTACTTGGACGACTGAAGAAGAATTCATTAGAACTAATGGAGCTCATTATTATGCAATTTTCTCCACAGTTCTGAAACTTCCACTCCACATGTATTGTTATAAAGTTCTGTTCTCCAACATCCAAATTCCATTTAATTTTTTATGATGTGTGATCAAGTCTCACATACACATAAAACAAGTTATATTTTAATATCTACAGTTCTTGATAGCACACGAAAAGTTAACAGAATCTTAACCGAAGCTTTCAACTAATTTAATACGATCGTAAAACTCTTTCGTGATTCTTAATCTGACTTT